TTTGTTTCATCGTCATTGTATCTAAGAACTGTGTGTTGTGAGGTAGCTGAGGCACACTGAGCTCTACATGGTATTGGATTGAATGAACTACATACTCTAGTAGTTTGATTATTCCTTGATTCATAATCTCCCCTGATGTCGCGTGGCTGAGTGGTCTGCACGTTTGCTTTGCAATCATAAGGTCACCGGTTCGAATCCCTCTTGGAGCGGGCGTACTAGCGTTACACAGCCCGCGCGCGACTGGTGGTGGTCGCGCGGCAGCGAAGCGCCGTTACGGCGTTCAGCTGACACATTATTTATATTTTTTAATCTACCCTGATAGGGACTGGGTTGCTTAGAGGAAGAAGTGTGCATATTTAAAAGATCTCGTTAAGCTGAGAAACACTAATTTCTGATGTGCCCCAATTTGCAGTAATAAAAGCACTGTTGGGGGATCTCATAAACATAAGTGTTGCGGGTAATGTTTGTTTCATCGTCATTGATCTGAATGTGTGTTGTGAGGTAGCTGAGGCACACTGAGCTCTACATGTATTGGATTGAATGAACTACATACTCCAGTAGTTTGATTATTCCCTGATTCATAATCTCCCCTGACAGGGGCTGGGTTACTTAGGGGAAGAAGTGGTGGTATACGATATTTTAAAAAAGAACTTACATCCGTATTACACAGAGGGATGTTGAAACCTATAAAGTGTTTTTTTCGGATTGTATTGTTGTCAATTGCGTACTAGAGGGAGTGGCGGTGGATGAATTTCGACTTGAAGTAGATAGGGGTTTCACCCTTTTATCTGTAAGTCTGTGTGGCCTACCTTCAATTCGTATGCTATTTCGGTGTCGCACACGTAAGCGTTTTGCCAGCTTGAGTTTGTGGGCTTTGAAATCGTAGTCAGAGACATTGTGTGTAATTATTCGGCCGGCTCTCTGCGACTTATCCCGACAACAGTGTCAGAGTTGCATGTAGAAGCTTAACGACGTACACTTTCTTTCAGTTCGCCTAGCTGCATATCTCTACATTCTTGTAGTGGTAGCTTCAGACCTACTGAACTTTGAGTGTTTATGGGAGAATGTCTGGCAATATGTTTCCCCCCTGTTTCTGCCTACTCCTCGGTTGGTCGGAGATTAACCATAGCTTACTTCATTCGGGTCATATTTAGATTTGTTTTTCGGGATGTCAAAGTGGCGATATGAGTTTTTGTCGCGCTCTTGATAGGTCTCAGGTACAGTTACTGTCAACTTTTGTAAAGGCTCGCGGCTTGGAGAAGGGACAAGGGAGTTGAGTGTGTGGCCAGCTGGTTTCCGCGTCGTTATATTTTCAACTTGGTTGGTATTTTTAGGTATGGACACATCACTACTGCTGGTTGAGAATCTTTCATGAGGCCGCTGAAGACTGAGATGCCAGTCATTGCCTAGTTTTGATTACGCGATTGACTCATCAAGGTCGACATTGTTGATGGCAGCATCAGTACTGTCTTCAATGGTAGGAACATGGTGTGTGTGAGGGGCGGAGGTGCTTAGTTTCATTGTTAGTCGCCGTTGAGGAGGCGTTTGATCATAGATTTTTAAAATTGGTTCGTGCAACAACTAGCCTTTTACCCCATAAGAATTTGGATACGCCCCTATCGTCTGGAAACTGTGGGAGTATCGGACATGTGGTCATGTCTTCTTTTTTCCTCAGTCTATGGCATTGATAGGAGACTCCATCCATATTGCATGCTTTTAAGAGGGTATTTATTACTCTGTCGATGTTCGGTTTATCAGGTACGTTAAAAATGGTAACATTAGGTGATCTACGGAGGTGTTCCTGCTTGTCTGATGTAATTGAGTCTAGTAAGGAAGCAGCCGTGCTCAATCGGTCCAGTGTAACAGTTGCTGAACCTCTAAGCAGTTCACAGAATGATAGGACTTGTTCAAAGTATGTGCTGAATTCATGAAGCTTGCATTGCAGCGTGGCTATTTCTTTCTGAAGGGCTAAAATCCGGTCTGTCGTTTCAGTCGGAATTATGGTAGTATAGTTGGAATGGTTCGCAGCAACGTCCAAGTTTTTTGGAATTTTGATGATGGACGTCCCCTTTTTACAGTAATAATGGGTGGGTTTATAGCAGTGTTACCAGAAGGCTTTATAGTCATTTCTGTTTTCAACTTCAGCCTAAGGAGGGAGCTTCTCGTTTTCACTTTGTTAACTGGCATCTCTAGTGGGTACTCGGAAGAATGTTATGGTGCTGAGTGTAGGTCTAATGTGTTGACTAGGAATACAACCGTAGGAGGACGAGAAAAAAAAATGACGCAATTTTTACTACTACAAGTGGTGCAAACCAACCGGTTGAAATTCCGGTTCTTTGGTTTTCTCTGTCAACTGCGCTGCTTGTTCCTTAGTCTCGTTTGTTCATCTATGTGCACGGGTCTACGGAGTACGCTCCCGGAGGATAAATGACAATCTGACGTTAAGGTGATTCGTTCACACGTTGTGACACGTATGCAAGGTCAAGTGGCGTTGGGGGGTGAGAAAACTTGCGTCTATTGATCGATGTCGTTAAGGATCGCTTGCCGGTGTGATGTAGTCCACACAATGGAGCTAGGGTCCGATAGTGGGGAAGTAGATTTACTGGTCGTATTAGGAACTAAGGCTCCAAGTACCCACCAGAGTTGTAGATTGCGATGGGATAGAACTGGCCAAGTGGTTGTTCGATAGAGCTGATAATTCTGAGCCGAATGATTGGAATTTGGTTGGTGTAAGTTGAGATGAGTGAGGAAAAATTCACTGCAGACCAGAGCACAGAGTGATTTGGAAAGTTTTGCAGAGTTTTTGCAAGAACCGTTAGATATCCTCCAGCACTTGCTCCGATTTTGGAAAGAGGACGCAAAACGGGATTAAATGGTGTATAATAGTCCGCGATCAGTTGAGACTGCACGTAGAAATCAAGCAGTGTCAGAGCTTCAGTTTTATGCCTGCCGTCAGTGACGCGTAGTTATAAGGTCCAAGCTGCTACGGCGACCACCTGTCTATGGTAATCAGTCAAAAAGATCCCCGAAGTTTACTCCTATTGTTTGGCGGCGGAAGTCAGTGACTACAACTACAGTGACAGAGTAGAGAATTAACAACGGGCGCAGTGGATGAGACAAGACAAGGCACAGCGAGCGTTGCAAATGGAGCTGACAGCAGATCACGGGCGGCATCTGGTAACGAGCCTGGACCCAGAACAAAGGAGGTATTTGTCGAGAAGGCAATGAATCAGACAACTACGGCACTGGCGGAGCCCATAGGAGTGAACGCGGATCGAGTGATGCAGCCACGGGAGAGCAAATCGCGAGCTTTCGAACTACTCAGGCCGGCCAGAATCGGATATAGCGAAGCGGAGACATGGGATCGAAAGATGGAGGGGTTGTCTCGAAACCCAACCCCGTAGGCCCCTCGAATGGCCCGTCACACAAGTCCTCATCCGCGTTGCGTCGTGGGAAGGAAACGCGGGCCAAATCTGTACAGGTTTGTGTTGTCAGCGGCACGTTGTTGTGGCAATCCACGTTCTGCCCCCCTCCCCGCGTCCTTTTCGCTACGCTATGTGTAATGTCGCTGTGCATGAACCTGGCCATGGCGACTACACGTCCAAGACGACCAGTCTTCGTCGGTCCCTTGACTGGTCGCCTTAAACAGGTCTGATTGTATAACCCTGTTATGATGGACCTGGGCGGTGGGCCGTAACCAAACAACTGGGCTCTGTTGTGAAACAAATGGATCATTATTGGGTTTTGTATGGTCATTTGTGGAGGCGCTATCGGTAACAGCGTACGCTGGCATAAAAAGTGGATCGTTTGGCAAATCGTGAGACTGTTCTGTAGGAGGAAGTGGGGTTCGAGAGTAGACTAGAAACTGAGGATGCCACTAAGAGATCGTATGCGTTTGGGGTGTATGTCCTCACACGCTTTTCCAGGTTTCTAATAAAATGCTATATTACTCGAATTGGAATGTTACTGTCCCCGGGTCGTAGTGGTAGGTTGCAGAATCTTTGGTGGTGGTGAATAATATGTCGGTTTGTTACTTCTGACCGCGCGATAGTGGACGTTCTCGATCAGTGGTTATGGCCTTGAGAAGTTTGAGAAAGTAAGGCAGCTTTCTCTCTGTCGAGACACTCTCTCGCCCGAGAAAGGTACGCATACGAATAGAAAACACAAGAGACACGTTTCGCGTCCATCGACGAACGGGCCTGAATACAGAGCCATACTAAGAGATTCAGCGCACTAAACGCAAGGTACGGAATCAATTGGGAAAATGTTGAGATCATTAGGAGAGGAGTACGATCAACAGGCTATAGGTTAGTTGCTTAGGAGGTGGAAATCACCGTGGCCAATGACTACGTGAACAGTACGGATTGGCTGAAGATAACTAACGCGTGGCGGTCAGTTTGAACAGCGTTGGCGCGCGGACTCAGATCGGAGCGTGAATCAATGGCAACGGGAACAGGAATGTCTCCCACGTGAACCACCTGTGACGCGGGTCAGTCGGGAACGTTCGATGCTAGTTGTTACACCAGAATGACCTTTTCAACCACTGACCTATAAGTGACCCCTGTTATTTCTCACAATTATTTTCTTACTTTGCTATAAAGAAAACGCATTTATGTATGAATTCACCTGACTGCACGAAGCTCTTACGTCAAAAGTGGCACGTAGCCACAACAAAAAACCTGAATTATATTCTAAACCTACCGAAAGCAACTATTTCGAATTGTCATAAAGGTAATCACTATTTGAAGCACACTCTCTTGGCATGCGGCTTATATTCATTATGACTCATTCATTCTTTGTGATTTCAAAACACGAACTGTATGGTAGGACTCCACTAACCGTAAGCATGGCTTGTTTGGACATTATGAGCCAATTTGTGACGTATGTGTGTTTGGCATCAATCGATACATGCATTTAACCGACCCCTTTTATTCCTCTCCCCACCTACCTCCAAAAGCGAAGCGCCATTTAGTGCCGTTGGCGTCTGTTACAGCCTGAAGATGCGGATACTGGCCTGGCTGCACTTCCCTATAAATCTCTTCTGCCTGGGATACTACGTACTCAGGGTAAGTATGAGATTTTCCCGATTCTCAACAATATCGCAACCCTTCAAGGAAAGTTCCAATCATCGGAAAGGGAAGCGCAATTTCTACTAAAATGATCAGTAAGCATGGGTTTTGCTATGAATCAGTAATTCAGTGTATCCTCACCAAACACCAAGATCCAACTATGTTCCAAAAACGGGGTTATGCGACTTCACTTGGCAGTCAGCCTCACATCTTGGTCAAAATCCAGTTGTCTGAGGTTGAACGCGTTAAAATACGAAAATATTCCTTCCTAACTGTTTAGGAGAGGTTTTGCCAACACATCTTTAATCACTACTCTTACCCTCGCATGTATGGTGAAAACCGGTACTCCTCTATATCAGGGCAATACCTGGGCGTGAAGTTGATCCGTGGTTCATTCGTATGAACGCAATAGCTACTAAAGTCAGGAGACACGTATTGTCTCAGGTTTTCTTCTATACATTTTGTCTGATGTAGCGGTTTGTCACAGAGTGAGTGTTATCTCCCTGGATCCACTGCTATCCCTTGATCTTTCAAGTATTTTAAGTAAAGACCTCATAGTTTTTGTTAAGTCATTGAAGCATCTATCCTAACGGATCGCTATTTCTGAACCGAAAATTGTTAATATTATTGCATTCAGTCATGTTGACGCCTCCAAAACACTTGTGTCTAAGTTGTTCGCTGAGGCTAGCCAGTTCTCCATAGTGTGTTACCTGAATGCACACTAGGCTCCTCAGTCATACATACGTACAAAACCATATATGCTCGCACATAAGCCTACGGTACGCCAGCTATCCCTTAGCTGTACCTATTTTAATGGATCAGGTTTGGTAAATAAAGAACTGATAGCTAGAGTGCTTTAATCATATTAGCTATGCCAAGTATTTTTGTTAAGTGTTGTTTCATACCTACTCTTATAATAGTCAATTTTATTAACTGTCCCTGTCCAGGGTGTGTTACAGCCTCGTTCTCCGTGGTGACATAAAATCCATTTTTGATGTGGCCTAATATGATTTGGTGCGATTCGCCGGGCTATTGTTCTGCCCATGCCTTGCGAATACTGAGGATGTCCGATCCCTCGATTCGCCCGGCTCTACCACCACCACCACCACCACAGTCAGCGTAACCACAGCCTCGGCTGAATCGACAAATCTAGCGGCCCCAACAATCACGAGGTCCTAAGGCAATCAGGTCCACCGACTCAACATCTTGCGTGCAGCCAACACGCTACTGGTATCCATGATTATCGATCCGCACCATGTCTCAGTCAAGCGCAGCTACAGTTAAATCGATCTGGCTACCATCGAATAGCGCGAGCAGCACACGAAATGTGAGGTTACCGTGACTGTGGCCGAACTGTCTGTCACGTGCGGTTGCGCCTAAGGCCCCTTTCGCATGACCATCCGAGTACGCACTTTAACGCACAGGATGCGGGATGGCATGGCAACACATGGGAAATGGACAAGAAGAAGCCAACGCCAGTTGACACTCCCTAGTCTGGACATAATTGCAGGGGCAGAATATTGACTGGCGGATCGTACCCTGGTCCACCCTCTACTCCACGGCGATTGTCATGCGAGTCGCTACGCCTCAACTACACATAAGTACGGAGTTTCGGCAAATACCGCAGTTTGCTGGTGTCTTCGACCCTACGTAGTACATCACCACTATCCGACACGAAATGGCTCCTCCGAGAATGGCAGTTTTTTTTACTATGCCAACCGCCTCTTTCTCTTCCGCCGCCCCGCCTCTTCCTCTTGCTCCTCTTAGTTCATGTCACTGCATGCCAGGTGCACATGTTTGGCCAACACAGCATTCATGGGAACGATAGCTCGGTTCCTAGGAGAACAAACCGCGCGAATGTCCATTATCACATAGACGGACAGACGACTAGGAGCTACATAGGTAATCCTCAAATGATATCCACTCACGAGTACATCTATAGTCACCGCTAGTCCCAACCGTACCAGGTGAGTCTGACCACTCGTGTTTCCTTGCTTGCGTGAAACTAGCTTCAGTGTAGCCAGTCGTTGCGGAATTTGGTTGTCGAGCGCTACTGGACCATTCCAAAGCTTGGTCCGTCTGCCGCGCTCGCCAGCACGCTGCACGCTCAACAATTCTAGTGACAATCCATGGTATATGCGCGCCTAATATGCTATTAGCTAGCTGACTGAGAGTTGTTCCTGCACATAAGCGCCCTCAGTGGATTACCTTCCTTGAACAATCTTTGAGTGCACCTAGCACCAGGGTACCAACGTCCCAGTAGGTTTCAAGTGCATGTATCACAATTAGCCACTCAACGAAGAGTAATCACTCACTCGTGTGTACACACACATCAGATGCATTTTGGAGGAACAACGGAAGAACCTGATTTTCTTAAGGAAGGCTTTTTATGTTGCGTATGTGGTTGACTGGTAATTGGTATAGATCCATCACTGCTCTGCGCACGCAGACATTTGACTGTGTTTCGTCGTCCACTGTGGTATTGCGAAAGACACATAACCCTGTCCTTGGAATGCACAAAATGATCCATTAGTACTCGGCAATGCTAGGTTAATCGTATCTGACACTGCCCAAGTCTGTTCATTGGATTGTTGGAGATAGTGCAGATGACGGGCGGTACCCAAGCAGGATGAATATCTGAAAGTTCTTGGAGTTCGTACACTGTTGTCCTTTTCCACTTGAACCTAACTCAACTATCAGTTGTGTTCCAATTAGGTAGTCTGCGTATATCCACTCGAATTTCATGTTTTGAATACATCGGCTCAATTAATTTCCATCTTGATTTCAGTGTTGCGCCGCCACGGATCCAGCCAGATTCGTCCTCACTTACGGCTCCATCATCGATCTTATAGCCATTCCGCCAACGCTCTTCGCTCCGTTTATGGCGAAGCGGCACTTGGGTGAGTTGAAGGAGTTCATTATCTTGTAAATCTAATCAGAGGAACCCGATTTTCACTGATAGATTAGACGAGTAGGCTGTTGTATCAAAGGTTGCTTGGAAAGCCGAGTAACTGAAACTCCACCAGGTCCTTGGGACGCATCCCAACAAAATAAAAGCACGGGCGTTGCTCACACCTAAACTTGCATAACAAGATCGGCTCCACACCTATAGCGAATCTCGGGCACAGTTTGTCCAAACACAGCATAAACTGGCTCGTGCTTTGATCCCTGTGTTAACTTTACCGCTTTTAGTCACGGTCACAAGGCGCGATCGATGGCCATAACACACTTGGCTAGATTTGCAGATTAGAAGCGAAGATTGGCGGCATCCGGTCACGGATTTGCCTGTCCTTGCGGCCTCCACAGGTTAGCCACAGGACGCCAGCGCTTACCGAGGGACCACGGGTTGCGTGCGTTGCACCACTCCCCCACTCCATATCCAATTTAAACCCGAGGGAGTAAAACCGGAAGGCATGTGCATGGGAGCCAGGTTTTATCAACGGAGCCGGCACACACTACTTGAATATGAACAACAGTAGCACTCCTGTCTATCCAAGTGCGGAGTTAAACGTACCAACCGTACACAACTCGGTGTCGGCCGGTGGCCGAGTGGTCTGCACGTTTGCTTTACAACCATAAGGTCACCGGTTCGAATCCGCGTAGGGGTGGGTGACCTCGCGGTATACTCAGCCCGCGCGCGACTGGTGGTGGTCGCGCGGCAGCGAAGCGCCGTTACGGCGTACAGCTGACACGTTACGTTAGTCCACACTACACTGGGTGGAACCACCCTTTGAGCCTAGCACGGTCACGAGGACTAGGCACACCGTCTCCTAAGGTAAACACTTGCACCTTGAGCCAGTATAATCGAACTAGCGGTTATTGGGAAGATAAGCACTTTGTCAACATTCCCATTAAAAGCAGCCACACCGGGGTTCTCAAACAGGAATAGCATAATAATAAAAAATAAACACATGAACTAGACCGTAAGTGTGTGGTCGCACAACCGAACGGAGCGAATGCAAAATAGGTGGATTAATTCTGATTTAGTGAATGGGTGATCTTTGGTAATCGTTGTGCAACTCAGGATATTTCAAACAAATAACAACGAACGTTATAAAAAGAGACGCGAAATAAACGGGGAATATGCGGAGAAGTAACAGAACTGAGTGAATACAAACTACTTGGTTAAAAGTAGTTGGTTAAAATTGCCGAACATGTGCAGCTGCTACCGAAGACAAGGTTGGTAATGTGTGAGGTTGGATTAAAAATGCTGAAGGTTG